ATCGTCTAGCCTCGCCAAGTGTGCTTATGTTGACGAGATGATGAGAAGATGACATATGGTCGATCTACTACTACGGACACTCCATGTACGAATTCAGCCTTATAACTCAAGGTTCACTACTACGAATATATTATTGCCATTAATAATAATTAGTTATATAATAATTTAGGGGCGAAAGTAATTTGAGCATTTGATTACTTCATATTTATATAGTCCGCCTGATTAATTGAGTAACTAAGAAACGCGTCAACCCAGGTCAGCGTTCGAATGCTCAAATCCTTTTGTTTTCTTTGATTGTCAGTGTAGTGAGTGCTCAGTCGATAAAAAGACTAGGCTGCGACCACCTTCTCCTTGTTCTTTTTCTTTCTCTAATAGGGCACATTGCCTGTGCATTGGGTGTGATCAATATCTATACAAAAAAGAGGAAATAAATAAAATGTAGCTTTAGGCGAAATTGTGTTTATTTCGACGATTTTTAAGAATTTGAACAGCGCGGAAAAATCTCACCTACGCTGGATTTGAAAAAGAATTTCTCATCATATCGTCTAATTCTAGAAAATGTTAAGGATGCAAACTGGTTCTTATAAGTAAATTTAAAAGATTCCATTCTGATTGGATTACGTAACAATAGTTTCAACTCGCATTACTCGGGAAAACTAATTACTGAAAATGAAAAGTGACTTTTTCGCAAACCATTTCAGAGAATTATAGCTTTACTGCTACTAATCGTGGCATCGATCCCCAATACTCAACTCACTTTATATTAATTTAAATCAAATCTCAAGTACAAACGTGTAATACGTGAACAAGTAACATATAGATTACAAGAGATTACAAATAATATTTTTTTTACTCGGGGAATATCCCCTACACGTGTCAAAGCGCTTTAGTCTGAGAGTAGTGGAAAGAAATAGATATACAATGCAAAAATTGTGTGGAGTTTTGATGTTTCGATGAGAACATCATGCCAGGTGTTGATAAGGTGTTATTTTTTGGGTGCCTGCCACAGAGCAGGTCGACAAATTTTACTAAGCACTTTAGCTTGCGATTTTTACATAATATATATATTTTTGTTTTCTTCGGGGTTGATTGGTACGTCGTGCAGAAAAACGCCGCAGCTCGAAATGAATCGAAGAATATTATTTATAAGCTTTACATACAAAATGCATTCCATATAATGGACGCATGTTGGGAAATGGCTCTTCAAGTTTTAAAGTAAAGTTCATTCACCAATGTCTGCAGATTTCAATTACCAAGGCCTAGTAAGCTATTAAGCCATTCATTCGTAGAAGTATAATGATTTAATCGTTCGAAGTGATGAAGTTACACTAAAAACATTTCCTATCCTATACTATTCTTTTTTGACATGCACAGTGTAATTCCCGTTTTGGACGGGAAATATTTGAAAGAAAAGAAAACATCAACAGGCTGGCTGTGTCTGAATCATATTAACTTCACGCAGTTGAAGAACCCCATTCAAGTTTTGAATGCACAGCAATTGCGGGGAAATAAGTTTGCCTGAACTATTTTTAATGATCAGCATCAAAATTTTTCCTCTACGGAAACTGAAAATTTAGATCGACTTCCAAAATTATAGGTATCTCAAGCGAATGAACTTTCCAAATATTCGATTAAAGTTTGAAATTTATTTCCACCATTTTTCCTTCACGCAGCTTCCATTTTCCGAGTACGACCACTTAATGTAGTTGTGGCGTTGAGTTGGTCTCGGACAACTCTTGAGGTGCAAGAACTGTTTCGTCATCAACTTTCGAGTTGACTTCTTTGCCTAAACACCTTCCGATTAATAATTAACACGTTTCCTCCCATCTGATTTCTACGAAATTGGGAAGTTGTTATTTTATATGCAGTCTTTAACTCGACGATGTGGCGATTAGTTTTCAATGAATATTTCAATCTTCAGCAAGCTTTTCCTTGTTATTATTATTTTTTTTTTTCAACTACGTATTGTGTTGTAAGTTATTTATATTAAGACTTTAAGAATCACTGCCTTCTCGCAGGAAGATATATACATATATATATATGTGTAGAGAGAGAACGAGAGAGGGAGAAAGAAAGAAAGAAAGAAAGAGAGAAAGATAGATTTGAGAAGATAAAAGCCTTACTGATGTAGTCTTTACAAGATAGGCACACGGACAAAAAGACAGACATGAAAACCATACAAAGATATATTTCACAAGAGTGTTAAAACATGACGATGATTACATACAGATGCCATCACCCATTGCCACCATCGTCACTAACATTGTAACACCACTAGTAAGCATTAGCTATAGCATAACTGTACTTGATATGCATGCCCTCATATATTGCACGAGAATGTTTAAGTTTGACTATCATAAGCGAACACATATATTGCGCGTAGAATATATACGCACGTACATAAATACACACAAACATACACGCATACATGCGAACATACGTACATTCATACTTATATATACATTCATACTTATATATATATATATATATATATATATATATATATATGTATATACATGTAAGATATATACATTTTGTGTGTTTGTATATGTTGCTGTTTCAGCGTGAAGAGGCCATACACTTTTTCATATATACATCCATGCACATCCATGCATGCATACACTTTGACAATTACAATAAATGTGTACTTGAGTGTAATAAAACAAATGTTTGTCTATTCACATTTTTGTTTTATCATTGAAATTAAAGCAAAAAAAAAAAATAAAAAAGAGGGGGAGGGGGAGGGAAAAACAATAACAATAGTAAAAAAGAAACTGTACACTTGTTAATAAAAACATACAAAAAAAGTCTTCCATATGCAGACAAACACATGGACGCACACATACACACGCGCTCACATTTACGAACATATATTTGCATACCGACAAGTAATTTTAGAAAAGAAAAAACCTTTTTTCTATTTTTTTCATACCTTTGAGCAGCATTTCAACACTTTAAGGTTTATTAACCTTTCGCTGCCCTCACGCACTCACTTGCGCCCATAAAGAAAAGTAAAATTACTAAACAGGGAAAAAACATTCCTTTAATTTTTTTTTTGTTTTTTGTTTTCTTTTTGTTAAATAACAAATCTAATAACAAATAAAAATTTTAAATGCAAGAAATATAAATAAATAAAATTTTTTTAAATTTTTTATTTTTCAGTTAATTTTACTAATTTCTGCTATCTATTTTTAGGGGTCGATTAAGAAAATTCGCTTGTCATCTTCTAAATGTATATGTATGTCCTCCTTCCTTCTCTGCGCAACATCGTTCCTGAGCAGCGTCTTTTTTATACGTTCAGGGCATATTCACTGACTGGACTGGTTAAATAAAAAACAAAAAAAAATTTAATAAATGCTTTGTGCTCTAAGTAAAATTTCCATATGTTTATAGACGTGTACCATAAATTGCTTAATAAGTTTTTTTTTTTTTTACTTTTATGCTACAGAATATAAAATTAGTTCAGTATGAAAATTGAAATTTGAGAAATTGTTCGGAAATCGTTTAGAACGTATTTGCAAGAATTATCGGGGGCGGCACACTAATGCCTTCCAAATAAACAATACTTTCTTCTTACGCATCAGCCATCGAAGCATAGAGTAGTGTATCGAACTTGTTGCTGAGCATTGAATGTGTTCAGAGTAAAAATTTTCTTTATTACGTTGCGAAATTGTTATGCTTTAGATTACCGTTATGTCGGCGTCCATCTTCACATCGACATATCGATCTAGAGATGAAAACTATTTTTACTGCTTTTTGTGCCATTCAGATCTAGGATATGCAATAAATGGGGGAAAATTAATTACATTTGTTCTTACTATACTACTAACTAATTTATAGAACCATTTAGATTTTTGAGGGTAGGTCATTAGTTTGAAGAGGGTATATATAGATTAAGCTTGTGCAGATGTATGCAAAATACCTTGAAAAAGTTGAAATAGACTCATCTTTATGGATCGATATAGAAAACGATTCTGAATTGAATTTAGGCTTCTCTGCCCATCTTGCTTTCTTTTTTTTTGGGCTCAACTTGGTGACCGTAATTTTTGAGGTATATTTTGATGAAACTTGATGATACATCGAAATGTTTTGGCCCAAATGCGAACGGGTTTGAAAATGGCTCGGATCGGAACTTTTTCCATGAATACGTGTGTATGTGTGTGTGTGTGTGTGTGTGTGTGTGTGTGTGTGTGTGTGTGTGTG